CCGGGCCCCGCCTGGGGAGTGAGGCTGGCCAGCCCCTTTGAGGATCACTCAAATGCTCAGCCTTTCCAACTCTGTGTATTTCCCTTTAAGATTAAGCTCCTGAGAACGTCCCACTACCTTCCTGATTTTGTTAGGGAGTCTTGATATAGGTAGGTAAAGCAGTTGGAGAGGTTTTTTGTTTTTTTTTTTTAAATAATTTTTAGTTGTGATGGACACAATACCTTGTGCTTAGGGAGTTCAGCTTGAGTAAGAAAGAAGGAAAGGAAAAAAGGAAGCCCTTCTGCTTGCAGGGAAGGTGTATGAGGAAGCTGTCCAAGACACAAGACCCACAAAAGACGACTAAGAAGTGCCCTGGATTCCTGCTTGATGACATACTGCAAACAGCTCCTGTTGCATTCACAGTAATAGTGACCGCCTCATACGCACCAAATTATTTATGCATGTGGGTGTCAGGGTTATTCATTTTCCTTATTTGACTTGATGTATTGATGTACTTTTGTGTTCATTTATTTTTTTGGGGTACTCAGGATTGAGCCTGGGGCCCTCTCCCACTGAGCTATATCCTCAGCCCCTTTTATTTTGAGACAGGGTTCTGCAAAGTTGCCCAGGCTGGCCTCCAGCTTGGGATCCTCCTGCCTCAGCCTCCTGAGTCAGTGGGATGACTGGTGTGCCTCACCACAGCCAGCTCTTTTTTTCTATTTTCAATATGTACAGGAGTGGGAGGCTGGTGGCCGTGTCTGAGGGTGAGTTTGCAGGGTTCTGGGGTGTGCAGGCTCCAGGGTGTTCTTGGAAAGGTGGGAGGGGGAGGTGGCTGGAGGGTACCCAGCTAGTTGCTTGTGGTGGGGCCCCTTCTCTTCTCCTTGACCTGGCAGACCACACGCTGGGCCATGTGCCCCAGGTGACCTCACCTCTGGGAGTGCTCAGCAGTCTTCCCAAGCTTCAGTTCCTACGTCCTTTTCTAGCAGGTCCTCTGAAATCCTGAGACCTAGAAGTTTTCCCAGAGTGGAGAAGTGACTTGTCCAAGGTCCTAGCTTTGAGCCCAGGCCCATGGACCGTGGGCTACCCCCACCCCAGTCAGAGGGAGCATCCAGGTCAGGAGCCTCCCTCCACGTCCGGTTGCCAAGTGCCAGTCCATAGACGGGCTTGGTTTGTTCCAGGATGTCTTTTTAAAAGCTTTGAAAAATCAGATTTTATGTTGCTCCGACTTGAATGTATGATCAAAAATTCATGTGCTGGGAACTCGGTCCCCGTGTGGGGGTGCAGAGGCTTTGGCAGAGTCCTTGTGAATGGGTTAACTTGGGGATTATTGTGGTTGTGGCTTTATTTAAAAGTGCTCTCTCTCTGGACCCTTGGGCCCCATGTCCCTGCAATGCTTTCCACCATGTTTGACACAGCATGATGCCCACACCGGAGCCTGGCTCTGAACTTCAGCCTCTAGAACCACAAGCTAGATAAACTTCTCTTCTTTGTAAGTTCCTGAATCTGTGTCATCCAGTTGTAGCGACAGGAGACAGACTAGGTCACCAGTTAGACCCAGACTCCAGCTTCTCTTGACAAGAACTGGGCGCCGGTCAGGCAGCCCGTGGTGGGCAGGTTCCTGGGGTTTTGGAAACATTATGCAACTGTTAACTGTTGTTATCATGGTTTCCTGGTTGTAGGTATGGTCACGGGCTGCATTGAGACCAGGATGGAGCCAGAACAGGAGTTGAAGCCTAAAGGGGCGAGGGAGCAGGGTGGAGGGGGAGCCCTCCCAGGGCCACCTAGAGGAGCTCCTTAAATGTGGAAAACCTGTACCCAACACCCCAGGGGGCGCAGACACTGGCTCTTCAGGAGGGATTCCCGAGGGAGGGAGGCATGACGGTCAGGAGAGCATGGTGCTCCATGTGCCATGTGCCGCGTGTGTTGGTGCCTCTGAGACCTTCCTGTGGGACGTAGTGTGGAGCAGGAGGCTGTGGGATCCGTGATCCTGAAGCTGTCGAGGCCCGGGCTGGCATGTGTTTGCATTCCTAGTTTTTAACAAAAAAGTTTAACAAATAAAGAAAAACATTTGTTTTAAAGTTAAAAAAAAAAAAAAAAAGCTTATTGGCAGGAGGCATCACAATACCAGCCCTTAAATGATACTACAGAGCTCTAGTAGCAAAAGCAGTGTGGTATTCAGCACAAAAATACAAGTGAAGACCAGTGGTACAGAACAGAAGACCCAGAGACAAACCCGTATCCACAGTTATCTCATCCTAGACAAAGGAGCCGTAAACATGCACTGGAGCAAAGACGGCCTCTTCAACAAATGGTGCTGGGAAAACTGGAAATCCCTATGTAGCAAAATGAAATGAAACCCCCATCTCTCATCCTGCACAAAACTAAACTTAAAGTGGATCAAGGACCTAGGCATTAGACCAGAGACCCAACAAATATATAAGAAAATGTCCAACATCCTCTAGTAGTTAAAAGCAAATTAAATCTTCACTGAGATTTCATTTCACTCCAGTCAGAATAACAATGATCAAGAATACAAGAAACAGTAAATGTTGGCGAGGATGTGGGAGGAAAGCAAACTTCTTGCTGGTGGGACTGCAAATTGGCACAACTTACCCTGGTAAGCAGTAGGGAGATTCCTCAGAAACCTTGGAATGGAACCACCACTGGACCCAGTTATCCCACTCTGTGGCATATACCCAAAGGATTTAAAATCAGTATACTACAGTGACACACCCATATCAATGTTTATAGCAGCTCAATTCACTATAGCTAAGCTATAGAACCAACTTAGGTGCCTTTCAACAGGTGAATAGAGAAAGAAAACGTACTATATATATACAATGGAATATTATTTGGCCATAAAGAAGAATGAAATTATGGCATTTGCTGAAATGAATGGAACTGGAGAATATTATGCTAAGTGAAATAAGCCAATCCTGGAAAACCAAAGGCCAAATGTTCTTTCTGATATGCAGATGCCAACACACAATAAGGGGGGTAGGAGGGGAGAAGAGAAGTTCATTAGAATGAAGGGAAGGGCGGGTGGGAATGGGAAAGACAGTAGAATGAACTGGACATCACTTTCCTGTGTTCACATATGAATACATGACAAGTGTTAACTCCACATTATGTTCAAAGAATGGGAAGATCTACACCATGTATATAGGCTATTCCCTACTTATGACCAACTTAAAAAAAAAGCTTATTGAATATGTATATTGGGGAAGAACAGAATACGTACAACTGTGCAGTTTGTGTCTGAAGCTAAGTGTTGTTAAAAAATAAGTCAAAAATTTAAAAGTTAAAAAGCAAAATGTTTACGGCAGCTAACGTTAATTTGGATGACTTTCCCATAGACTGTGGACGGTGTTGACAGTCTGCCCCTGTCCTGGGCCTTCGTTGCTCAGTGCTGTCACTCACCCTGCAGGCTCTGTTCATGGCAGGGCCCTCCCTCGGCAGGTGCACCACTTAAGACCCTTTGTGTTGTATTTCTGCTGTACCTGTTCTATGTTTAGAGATGTTTAGACACACAGATCCTCCCCGGGTGTCCCAGTGGTCTCTGGATTCAGCATTGCTGTGCCCAAGAGGAGCGAAGGTGAGCCCTGTGCGCCACCTGGTGTGGACAGGGACTGCTCGTCCTGGGGATGGTGCAAGGAAGCAGTCACTGAGGCGCGGGTCGGTCGGCTCATGATGCATGTGCTTCTTGGAATGCATGTGCTTCTTGGAATGTATGCACATGGCTAAGCGACAGACTGTATTTGCATCTTCTGACTGTTGTTTGTCCCTTAGAGTGATAAAAGCTTTTCTTTCTGGAACAGCCAAACTCTCCATCTGGCCTGGTAGGCAGAAGAGTCTGCAGAGGCTGGTGGTGCACATGTGCGTGTTGGACCGAGAAGCACAGCTGGCAGAGGAAAACCCCTCAGAGCAGGCCACCCCCCGCCACGGTGGCAGTGCCTTTGGGGCTGCCTCTGCAGGCCTTGAGCCTGCTCTGACCTGGGCAACTGCTGGGCAGCAGGCCTCTCAGTGTCCCCAGCACCCTGGCCTGTCACACGAGCTGGCTCCCCCTGCTCAGCAGCAGACACCTTCAGACCAGTGTGGGGTAACTAAGGAAGGCGTTATCTTGTCCCAGCTCCCCTCCTGGGCTGCCTGACCCTGCTCTGGACAGCATAAAAAGTCAGCTCGATGACGCAGGCAGACTTTAAAGCCTGTTCCGGATGGCAGCTGGGCTCTGAGCTGTCAATCAGAGGTGAGCCAGCACACTCGGGCTGCCTGCCAGGGCTCTGCCCAGAGAGGGCAGGGCACTGAAGCTGTGCAGAGCTCCTGCCCAGCTTTCTCTATTTATAATTTCCCTTGATAATGGGGCCATTCATTCCTGCTGCAGGCCCCTAATTGCTCTGCAGAAGAGGGATGACAGCCTGATCATTAACTTCACAGAATCTGAGCTTGGGCTGTGTCAACAGAGTCCATCTGCTGTCACCAGGGGCGATCTTTGCCCTTCATTGTGGCAAAGGGCAGTTAGAAAAAAAAGAAAACCTTGGCTTGGCTCCAGGCCCAGGAGATTTTTATTATTTTCTGGCCTCAAACTATCTGCAGAGGGGACAAAATGCTCTCCTTCCCTGTGCTGGAAGCTGTGGTCAGCTGGTCACTGCTCCCCTGGCTGAAGGTGTCAGTTTGGTCCCTGGAGATCAGGGATATGAGTGCTAAAAGGGACCTTAGGGACATTTTGGTTGGGATTAATAACTGGGCCCGCTTCAGCCAACAGCTATTTGGCTAGCAGAATATTTCAAAAACTTTTTCTAAAAAAATTGAGGTTAAAATCGGCATTACAAAAAATTAACCATTTAAAAATTCGGTGACATTTCAGCCTATTGACAATGGGGACCACCGTCACCACCGGCAGCTTCCAAATATTTTAATCACCCAGTAGGCACCTCTGTCCCCATCACGCACTTGCCCCGCGACCTGCCACCCACCCTCTGCTTTGTCTTTTCTGGGTATTTCACACAAACGGAGTCTCTCAGCGCGTGTCCTTCCGCACCGGCTTCCCTCCCTGGGCAGGATGTTCCGAGGCTCCTTTTTGGAGGGGGCCACATTTGGAAAGGTTTTGGATTCGTCTCTGACAACCGCGTAGAGAGACAGTCACTCAGGGCAGTGCGCAGCTCTGCGGCTTGCGCGGCGATGTGCATCAGAGCGCTGTGACGGCAATTAAATTAGTTTTCGACGTTGAGAAATCGGCTCAGGAAGTCGGGTTCCCCTCTCGGCCCCGGCCCTTGGGCTCTGGGAAGGCCCACCCACCCCCACTCACCCCTACCCTTCCTGGGCGCTCAACTGGCCCTGGAAGCGGAGCCTGGATCCTGGTGCAGCGCAGGGGCTGGACCGATGCGGGGCCTGAGCCGCAGCCCAGCTGACTCGCGCTGACACCAGGTGGCGTAGTGACCCGGCTGCAGGAGAACCCACGTCCTCGCTCCCACTGCCTGGTGGCTCTTTCCACCGCCTTAGTTATCCGAGTTCCTGTGCGAAGGGGTGCGACCTTGTGCAAACGTTGGAATACACGGACAAGGATATTAAAACCCCACCATTCTGCACGCGTGAGCCGTCCCGGTTCACGTTTTAGGGTGCTGCCAGTTCTGTGGACACAGTGTTGCAAGGTATGAAAGTTTACCTGAATAAAAGTCACCCAGTATGGACAGTTTCATATTCTGCATTTCTCATTGTAAATGCTGGAATGAGGGTGGCCCCCTATGTACTCCTCCGTGAGTGGGGCGGAAAGGCAGCCTGCCCCTGGCTCCTCGGCTGCGGGTGGCCCCTTGCCACTCCGGGGCTGGCAGACCCGCAGCCTCCATCAGAGCGCGGGCGGCCCCAGGCTTGACGAGGATGGTGACGAAGGCCACCAAGCAAGCCCACCTGGTGAGGAAGGGAGGCTTCCCCGCCCGTTTCCTACTCCCGCAGGGCGGGCTGTCGTGGGGTGAGGGTACGTGTGGGTCTCCCGGGCCTCCGAGAGCGCGCTGCCGGGCTAGCACCGGTTTTCGGGTGGGTGGGACGCTTGGAATCTGCTGGGATCTGTGTGGCGGCGAGGCCGCCGGGCTCCATCCACACTGTCAGAGCCGCGCTGTGCTCTCCATGGCCGCCAGATGGCGCCATGGAATAGGAAACGGGTTTGCCGGCTCCGTGTTGCTGGAAGGGGAAATAGAAGCCCGGCAGAGCTAGCTTTTTAGAGAAACGAAGGAAGCAACCTGGAAACGCACAGTCACTAAGGGTATGTGCACCATGCCGGGCGAGGAGCGAGGGCGAGAGCGGGCGGAAGCAGAAGCACCCCGGAAGGAACAAGGAGTCATGCATGGGTTGTCATGGCAACCATGTAGGAGAGGGAGAATGACGGAGGGGTGACTCCTGTGGGCCTGGCCGGCTCAGGCACCTATGATTTGATGCTAGTACTTCGCCTTGTTTCTGAGCCTCAGGTCTGTAGGATGGATTGTCCCTTTAGGTTGTAGGACAGATGAGAAAAGCAGAAACCAACGGCCCTCATCCCTGCAAAAGTCTCACCTGCCTTGCTGGGAAAGTGCAAGATTCTGGGCTCCGGGTTGCCATCTTTGACGGGCCTCTCTGAGTACCTGGACACAAAAAGATAAAAAGTGCCCCATATAGATTTTGGTTGTGTGGGATCAGTGAGGGAATGTGCATTATGGAATATCATCAAGAGTTCAAGTTGTGAGATACACAGTAGATACTACAGGCCATCAGGTTCGGAACAGGGCCAGGAAGACTTCTTGGAGCAGACGGGCTGGAGCTGGGTTTTAGAACAACAGGTGGGGAGTAAGAGATCAAAACCCCCGAATGCTGGGCTCAGGCCACAATTTGAGCTAAGCCCTGGTGCAAGTGCCTGGAGGTGGTGATGGCAGCAGGGCACAGAGGATCTGCTTGCTGCTGTTGGGAGAAGAGGAGCCCACGCAGCAGGCTAGAGGGAAGGGCACCCCTGGGAAGCTCAGGGAGCCCAGCTGGAGGCTTGCGTTGGCCTTGGAAGTCAGGTTAGAGATCCCTGTCCTGGGGCAGCCACCAAATCAAGACCTTCTTGGCTCCACTGCCAGGTATGTAGGGTGTCAGTGTGGGGGTGGGTTTAGGGGCCTGGGGCTGAAGCAGTCAGCAAGGACATCGAGGCCTAGAGGTGACAGGGTCTCCTGAAGTTCAGTGTCTCCTAGCTGGATGAGGTCTCATCTGCAAGTGAGGGGAGTAGAAGGTAGGATGGCATGGGAACATGGGTGGCATGGGGGCATGGATGGTCTGACATGTTCAGAGGTTCTGTTCTGGACAAACCTGCAGCTTTACCTCCAGATCAGTGGGAGCAACCTCGTGGCCTGCCTTCTTGCGACAGCAGGGTGAGGAGCCCAGAAGCCTGCCCAGGCCCCTTACTGGTGAGTACTGGATCTGTGTGGACTACACTGGACCCAGAAATGGATCTGGGTCATGCGTGCTTCTTAATGGACAGCTCCTCAGGCCCCTGGAGAAGCAACCTCAGGAGAATAAGGACCTCAGTGTTTCTGATAAGTGTTCCCTAAACTGTGCTTGGAGCAAGACTCTGGGCTTTGTGGATGCGATTGGCACAGGTAACCCACTGTCTGGACTCACTGCTCGTTTTCTGGGAAGAGTGGCCGATGTTTATCAGGCCCATGCATTGCACTTACTTCCTTGCAAGCCGTGTCCATTTGGTATGACTCTCCCCGTGTTAGAGCTGAAATGGGCTCAGAGAGACCAAAAGTCACGCAGCTGGTAAGGGACAGAGGCGGGATTGTAAGCCAGGCCTGTCTGGGAGCTCCATGGACACTCATTCATTTCACTCAGAGGCAACAACTGTCCGCCAGTCTGGCTCTCCAGCTGCCGTCTGCTGCTGACTCTCTCATTCCCTTGTCTGAATCTGTACCGTCCTCTTCTGTGCTGTGGATCCACGGGCAGCAGCCATTTGGGAAATCTTGCAAAGAAGGTGCCAGGAGACAGGGAGCGAAGGGATGACAAAATAGGGTCTATGGCTGAGCCACTTTGATTCAATCTGTGGATTTTTTATTTTTGAACAGAGATTGAACTCAGGGGCACTCGACCACTGAGCCACATCCCAGCCCTATTTTGAGTTTTATTTAGAGACAGGGTCTCACTGAGTTGCTTAGCACCTCGCCCTTGTTGAGGCTGGCTTTGAACTCGCAGTCAGCCTCCTGAGCTTGTGGGATTCCAGGTGTGCACCACTGTGTCCGGCACTCTATGGATTTTGAAATGTTTTGCTAAAGATTTCTTTCCATCTCCTAAGCCTAATCATCATCATCGTCATCATTGTCACCATCACTGATATTGTCATCATCACAACCTCCACCACCACTAACGTCACCACCACCGTCACCATCACCACCACCTCTACCATCACCACCATCACTATCACCACCACCATCACCATTATCACCACCACCACCATCACCACCATCACTATCACCATCACCATTATCACCACCACCATCATCACCACCACCATCA